TGGGGGTAAGAAGAAGGGTTCCTGACTCTCTTCTTCCCTCCTTGGTCGTGTCAGACGACGAGTTTGGCCGGGAGGACTGCAGTCCTCTCGGCTCAAGCTTAGGTCTATCTCCCGCAGGATTAGGCTTCGGGTCAGCAGACGGTTCTCTTGCCTGGAAAGGTCTCGATCTGCCTCGACCAGATCATCCTGTGAGGGGTCGTCTTTCTGCTTTCCTTCCAGAGTGGAAGGAAATTACGGAAGACGCATGGGCCTTGTCTGTGATCAAGGAGGGGTTAGACATTCCGCTAGTGCAGGATCCGCCCTTAGCGTCGGAGCCAATTTTTTTTCCTCCATGGACCATGCTTACCAAAGGCGCGGTCGAGGAGGTTCCTATGTCGGGATGCACTTTGGGGTTCTACTCAAGAATGTTTCTGGTTCGGAAGAAGTCCGGGGCGTGGCGTCCAATCATAGATCTAAGTGCCTTCAACAAGCACGTAGATTCTCCTCACTTCAAGATGGAGACTCCTCGGGGTATTATCGCCTCCGTGAGATAGGGAATGTGGGCGACTTCAGTAGATCTGAAGGACGCCTACTTCCACATCCCCATCAAGAGGTCGGCACGGAAGTTTTACTTGCAACGGAAAGGTCTTCCAGTTCCGGGCCATGCCGTTCGGGCTCACGACTGCACCTTTGGTTTTCACCAAGCTGCTGCAGGTGGTCGTGGGATTCCTGCACTCTCGAGGAATAGATGTTCACATCTATTTCGACGACTCCCTCATGCTCCACCTAGTGAGAGAGTCTCTGGTGCAGGTCACCCGGTTGGTTCTGAAACTCTTACTCAAGGTCGGCTTCATTCCTTCCAGAGAAAAGTCGGAGGTTTCCCCATCTCAGGATTTTGTTTTTCTGGGGAACCGTTTCAATACGGTTCAGGGCATCGCCCTTCCACCGATGGAGAAGTTCGAGAAGGCCAGGGCTTTTGCTCTGACCTTTATCGGCCGGTCTCAAGTCCAGGTACGTTGGTTTCTCAGTTTTCTGGGATATCTCAACGCCCTGGCCGATGTGGTCCCCTTAGGGAGACTTCACATCAGGCCTCTCCAGATGTTTCTCCTTGCCAACTGGGTCCCTTCTTCAAGGGATTGGGAAGCCTTGCTTCCTCTGAACCAGTCGGTCAAGGAGTAAGCACGCTGGTGGACTCATCAGGACAATGTTCTCCGAGGGGTTCCTTTGTCCAAGCCGGGTCCCACTATGACCCTGTACACAAATGCATCCATGACAGGGTGGGGAGCTTATCTCGACAGGCGTTGCCAGTCGGGGGAGTGGTCTGGGGAACAGCTCTCGGAGCACAGCAATGTGCTCGAGATGAGGGCTGTTCTGTTGGCTCTGCAGTCTTTTCGGGAGATCCTGCATTCCAAGGTGGTTTGTATGGCTACGGACAACACTACGGTTGTCGCGTATCTGGAGGGACAGGGGGGAACCAGGCCGGTTTTGACAGAGTGGCAACTGAATCCCTCGATTGTCGAGGGGATTTGTCAGGTGTGGAACAGGCCTCACATAGACCTGTTCGCCACTTCANTCAGGTCAAAGGAGGAGTGAGATTCATGCGTTGTCTTCTCACCCCTCTTGCCTCTGGTGGTCCAGGAATTACTCTGCCGTTACCCTTCTCACTGATCCTGCCTTTATGGCTAAGAATCAGGTTCCTGGCTTCTCGCCCGATCCGATTAAGATTCCGTCTTTGACTGCCTTCGTTGGGTCTGAGGAACGGGATAGGTTGCTCTGTCCCTGTCGGGCGCTTAAGTTTTACCTCGATAAAACCAGGGGGGGGGGGGGGGGGGGGCGAGGTCCTCGATCTCGTCTGTTTTTGCCCATTAAGCAGGCCCAACAGGATATCTCCTCTCAGTCAGTGTCTAGATGGATCTGTCAGGTCATCAAGTACGGTTACGACCACTCGGATGATCAGGTTTGGGCGTTGTATAAGGTGAAAGCTGATGAGATCAGGGCCCTTGCTGCTTCATGGGCCCTCCTCAATGGGTCCCCCTTTCAGGAGGTCATGTCCGCGGCTTTCTGGCGCGGACAGCCTACCTTCACGGATTTTTATCTCCGGTCCTTGGCTTCTCATTCTGATGGATTGTATTCCCTTGGACCGGTGGTGGTTGCACAGTCTGTGGCTGTTCCTCCACAGTAATTCAGTGATTTTAAATAGTATGCTATCAGGCACCACGGTGGTACACCTGCTCGTTTCACGGGGAGGTTTTCCATTTTTTAATTACTTTCGGGGCTTTATTAGGGGGGTTCCTTGAACCTTTTCCCTACCTTGAGCATGTCTCGAGTTTGTTCCGTCAGCCTGGTCTGCCTGGATTCGAAGCCTCCACTACGGTAAGACGAATTCGCATACTAAAGTTATGGTAATTATTACTGAAATGAAATTGAGGTTTTTGAAGTAAAACCAATTTTCATGATGTAATACTTACCATAACTTTATGGAGTCCCACCCTGTATTCCTCCCCTTGCCTCCTCATCCTGGCTGCCTTTAGGCTCCATAAAAGGGGGTTTGAGGAAGGGAGATCACTCCGTGGCTCTGTCATCGAGATAGAGGTTACGTCACGGTAGGNGGGGGGGGCGAGGTCCTCGATCTCGTCTGTTTTTGCCCATTAAGCAGGGTCAACAGGATATCTCTTCTCAGTCAGTGTCTAGATGGATCTGTCAGGTCATCAAGTACGGTTACGACCACTCGGATGATCAGGTTCGGGCGTTGTATAAGGTGAGAGCTCATGAGATCAGGGCCCTTGCTGCGTCATGGGCCCTCCTCAATGGGTCCCCCTTTCAGGAGGTCATGTCCGCAGCTTTCTGGCGCGGACAGACTACCTTCACGGATTTTTATCTCCGGTCCTTGGCCTCTCATTCTGATGGATTGTATTCCCTTGGACCGGTGGTGGTTGCACAGTCTGTGGCTGTTCCTCCACAGTAATTCAGTGATT